AATGTCGGCTGGTGACTCCCCGGGGGATAGCCTTCTCTGTTGCAGCTTCAGCCCTTTGGAACGACCTCCCTGTGGAGATCCGGACTCTTACTTCCCTCCCGGCCTTCCGCAAAGCCGTTAAGTTCTGGCTGCTCCAGCAGGCTGGGGAGCTCTCGAAATATCCAGCCCCACAGAAACTGTGACTGTTGTGTATTTTAAAGTGTTGTTTTGTGTATTTATCCCCTTCCCTTGTTTATTGTAAACCGCCCAGAATCCTTCGGGAGTGGGCGGCATCCAAGACCAATAAACATCAACATCAAACATCAACATTAAAAGCCTCCAACTCTCTATGCCCACGATGGCATAGAGAGCCCTCTCTGCGGGCACACGAGCCATTACCACAGCTCAGCTCCCCCGCGCATGTGTATCTGCCTCCTGTTGGCCAGCTGGTTTTTGGGTCTCTGCCACGGATGTGTAGTGGGTGGGAAGGGCTCAGGTGTATGTGGGGGGGTCACCTGTGAATGTGGAGGTGAAGGGGGAGGATGGGGGGTTGTGCATATTGCGGGCAGGCAGTGTGCATGGGGGTGTTGTGCAAGCATTGCATCATGGGTATGTGCATGCACTTTGGGCACGTGATGACAAAAAGATTAACCATAGCCGCTCTATGCCCTACTTCTCTGAATAGGGAAAAAAATCTGAACCAAATTTAGTATGAAATATTACAGAAGGATGAGGAAATACTTAATGGCACCAAACTCTTTCCACTGTGAAATGGCTTCTCAGAGAGGAAAAATATTTCCAAGATGAGTGAATTGCTGTTATAATTATAATGATGATTGTAAGTTAGAAATTATTTTAAATATTCATTTAAAACCATCTGTATTGCTTCATGCTTCAAGCATGGCTTCCCTTTCTAACCAGCTTTCATTAAACAGTATATAATTAAATATACTATATTTAATATAATACGGACACACACAGGCAGAGCCAAACACATACTGTATGTATAGAAAAACTAGATGAAATGCACAGGAAAAATAGACGAAATGTAAAGAAAACTTAGTTTAAATCCCTCTAAATAGGTTGTGATGTTCTTGAATTTTCCATGAGAACTTATTTGCTTAGTAAATAAGTAGCAACAAATGGGGAGAATGTTGTAACTATCCTCCTGAGCTTTTTTTTTAGACATTCAAGAATATCTGAAAAGCTCAAGAGGATTTTCAACCAACACAACATATATGTACATTTGAAACCCAAGAATACACTAAGGCAGAAGCTTTTCCACCCTGAGAATAAAACATCCAGACACAAACTGAGCAATTTGATGTATTCAATACATGCACTGCTCTATTCACTGGTGAAACAAAACAATCACTTCACAAGGACATGGCACAACATAGGAGATGGAACCCATCAGGACAAGGATTCAACAATCCATCTGCATTTGAAAGACAAAGGTCACACTTTTGAAGACAGCAAAGTCCCCATTTTGGATAAAGAGGACCATTGGTTTGAAAGAGGGGTAATCTATCTATGTTAGAATTGAATACCCCTTCCTCAACACACGGGGAGGAATAAGACACCACCTATCTCCTGTTTACAAGGCAGCTTTGGCAGCAGTTCAAACAAGATTCCACAACCAATTGCATCTTGACTCAGGTGACCATGAGGGCACAGATAAACCCCCAAGTGACCTCAACAGCTCTCAGAGAGAGTGCTAATGACCAATTGACTGCAAAGCAATACAATCCTTCCATTCTCTCCCCCACCATCATATCACAACCTATCCTTCCATCTCAACTATCAGTGCCTACCCTTCCATCAGAAGTGATGGAGCTTCTTGGATGAGAAGTGAAACATTTTTCCTTCTTCCTCAAAGAAAGAAAGAAACACTCCAGTTGGTTTTTGAAGAAAAAAGCACCTTTCAGACTGATATTGGGATCTTTCTATATTTTGTGAGTTTAACCTAACTAGTGGACTTCAAGATGAACTTCAAGGGCCCAAATCAATGGAAGGAGTGGAAAGAAACCAATGTATGGGTGGAATTTCGAAGTGAAATTGTAAGCACAACCAATTGATAGGGCTCAGCAGTCTAGAGCAATGATGGCTAACCTTTTTCTAAAGGTGTGCCAAAATTGTGAGTGTGCACTCTATGTGTTCCCACCCACCTGTGCATGTGCACACAACCCCCCCTGCATATACACACNTGGCTAGCCCGTCAGGCCTGGGGATAATCTTATTTTTGCCCCTCCCGAATGCTGAGTGAATGTTGAGTTTTACTGTCTAATTTATTTTGTGCACATTTCTTTTTTGTATTGTCCTACACTCCCCTTCCTTTTTTGATTGTAAGCCGCCCTGAGTCCCCTCAGGGAAAAGGGCGGCCTATAAATAAATCTAACTCCAACTCCATGGAGCCAGGATTCTCTGACAGTTATCAGCTGCCTTCAGAGTTAGATATCAGTGGGGCAGAACAGCTGGAGCCTGTTCCCGATGTGCACATGTGCAGAACTGCCAGGAGAAGGGAACTGCTAAGGAACAGGGATCAACTGGGGAGTAAAGGCACAGGTGAACAGTGAATGGCCCCTCCCTTAGGTAATAAAGAGGAGCGAAAGGGGAGGGGAATTTGCAGGAGACAATTACTTCAATTCATTAGAGTGAAAATCTGTTCCTGACTTCTTGCCAAGTAATTGCTGCTACAGCATGGTGTTTGGAAGATATCGGCCTGGCAGCTCTCCAAGCCTGATAAAGATCTATAGTTGTGAAATCTCATGAAAGACTGCTGGGATTTTGCTGGAGAGGAATTCCCTTTAAGCTAAATAAAGGAGGTTTTATTGGGATGAGGAGTCTGCTTGATGATCTTGGGAAGCCTAGGTCAGAACACCTTCCTAATGTCTCCTAAATTAAGTCCAAAATGGACTGTCCAAAGTTTTAGTGGGTCTCTTGCCTCATCCCACTTTAGCTTACAGGAATCATGTAGACCAACTAGACTAGCAACTTAACCTATGATGGAACAGATATTTCCCTTCCCTTGAAGAGGATCTGTGTATTGTGGATCATTTAGAGCGGGCAGCCTGAAGAAGGCTTCCATGTTCTATGAGCTATCAAAGG